ATGAACTCTTCATACTGAAAAAGCATTTTAATAAAAATCTGATGGAGTTTCATTAATAAATGATTCTTATTAAATGATGTCATTTTGCTCACTTTCCATATTTGGCCTGTGAAAGCTGCAGACGATTGATAAATTTAATCTGATGTGAAATGTGACTGATGTGTTGGAGCTTTAAACACGAGAGTGACTGTAACGCTGCAGACCTCTAAACATCTGTTCCCGGCTTCATGCCCTTCCTGCTGTCATTCTCCATACGTGCAAACAATCCTGCCGATTTCATTTAGATTTTCAAAAATAGCCAAAGTGGTTTGATTGTTTCCTCTGTATTCTGCTCACAGAGCATCAGTAAACAAGTGACTCATGCTTCTATGGGCACACAAATCATTTTTACCTGCAGTGTGCCTCCTCGTTTCATCCCGACAACAAACACAAGTATGGATCTGAGCACAGTTAAGAAAATGGGGCTTTCTTGGAGAAACACTTCAGTTCTGGGAACCAGGGTCTTAAAAACAACATTTCATAAGTCCGGCTCTTTGTGATCGTTTCTCCGAAGCCTTTCACACATTTATTCAGCCTCCTGTGAGCCTACAAGAGAGATGGTTTAACACATGCCTGGTTTTTTTAGAACTGGATCACTTTGTTGTTTTCACCGTTTTAGTGAAAGGTGACAAATGTGGTGTAGAACATTTTGTGTATCTGACCTGCTGTGTTGTGAATGCCTTTGAGAGACTCTGGCAGTCTGGTGCCACATCTCGCATTTCACAAAAGAGCAAAAATTGATGCATCACTCCTATTTCCAGACACACTCTCACACACACACACACACACACACACACATAATCGACCGGAGAAACGAGGCTGACGTCAAACCTCCCATTCACAACCACTCCCTCCACCTCTCTCTGTCACTCTGTCTCCACATTGTGCTTGCCAAGCTTCTGACAACCTGAGTTAAGGAGCAGAATTATTGGCTGTCAGGCCCAGTAGTAATGAATGGGGAGCAGCCGGTCAGTCGCCAGGGGACAAACACACAGAGAGGAAAGGTAACGTAGAGGAGAGACGCCCTCAGCCACA